ACAGTCAATGTCTAGCCGCACGACATTTGCTCAGCTGGTCAAGCCATATCTATGTTGTTCGATCTAAGGGAGAGATCTACACTACATGAAGCAAATCATGAGTGGATACAAATTGAAATAATTACAATCATCATAACAACATGATACAAACACATATATTGATAATCACTACAAAATGAAAATGATACCAATCATCATAGAGCCCCAAGGACCCAAGTCGATTGACCTGGTTTAAGACCCATGGCCGTTCTTGACCATGATCCAGTGCTGAAGGCTGGGTGCTTCTGTCACACAGAAGTTGGGATCCTCCTATTGCTTTCGGGATGCACATTCCGTCATCTGCCACCAACTGGATGAACTTCTTGTGTTCTTTCGGGCCAAACTTGCCTGAGGAGAAGGCGAAACAGAAGCAAGAGCAAGTGCACGGGGGCCCTATCTTGTGCAAGCTGCTCCGATGCCCAGGTGGTTCCCAGGTGATGCCAATGCAAGTTGGCTTTCCGAAATCGGCTGAATGGGTGTGTATCAGAATAGGGAGAACCTGGCCCCTCGACCTCTGGGAATCAACAGACTCGATTGCTTGGGAGGCCCCCTTATTTAACAATGAACGTCTCTGACCTGAGGACTTGGATTGACGTGACCTGACTTCAATTTGCGAAGACCCGCTCATCATCCTGAAGCTTCTCCACTTCCTTCACGGCGCGGACAAACCAAAGCAGTGAATTTACAATGGAGTCTTTTTTTAAGCATACTTGCGATTTACGATTTTTATGTATTGTTTTTGCGGATTGCCTCACGGCTGAACTAGTGTTTTTGTTTGTTCATTCTTCCACCTTCCCAGTCTCAAAACTCTTCGTGTGACTCACGACAGCTTTCTTTGGCCGTGTTCTTCTCTTGGCCGAGCGGCCGAGGCAGCACTTCATTCGAAGTGTGGAACGCGCTTGCGAGCAGAACCTCGAAGAGGAGACGGAAGCACCAATGAAACCGACAGAGACCCCTACAGAGACCCCTACGACCCTCCCGGCTCGCTCTCGGTCGGTGGGGGGGAGGTCGTTGCGGACAGAATCATGCCCAGATACGAGCTGTTTGGGACGGGTACATTGGGGTGGTTGTTTCAGGTAGGCCTCTTTGTTCCTGTCCCCCGGAACTGGCTTTGGAGAGTCATTCATTGAAAAAAACGCTGTGCGTGGTGGCCACCAGGATCGGCAATGGCTGCTGCAAGTGATCCAGCCAAGCAATCCTTGGCAGCTTGACCCAAAGCTGGAACATGGTCTAGATGTTGGTTCTCATTTGCTGAATGTTCCAGCATGCTCGAGCTCTTTGCTTGAGTTTTTTGCAAGCTAGTCAGAGCTTTTGCAGAGATCCATGTTCGGCATTCTTCAACTGGATGAGTTACTGTATACTTATAGCCAGCTACTCTTTTGCATCTTCAGCACTTCTGTATCTTCTGTACGACATTCAGCTCTCACTCCGAGCCCCTGAACCCGGCTCAGCTTTGCGACCTTGGTGCGGCTCATTTACGAGCCCAAGTACAAGGCCAAGACAGACTGGGGACGCTGGGGAGGGGCTTGGCTTTGGACATCGACATCATTGAAAGAGGTATGAACCTGGTCGACATAGGAGGAAGAGAAGCATGCGTGAGATATCATGAGTGGACTGCTTGAGTGCTATTTTGGCTGGAGTGATTCTTGGATGGTTTTTCCCTCTTCGAGGAAGAAACGTCTTCAACTGATGCAGCAACATCCTGAACATAGCCCCTTTCACACTCTCAGACTGCGGAAGACTTCGCAGGGACCCATGGTGGAGTAGAGGCAGGTGCATGTGGAGGCCCCATTTGGGCATCAAATCCGGAACCTGTCAGGGAGGATGCTCCCCTCATCTCCCCAGCTCACGGTGAGGGCTACCTGGACCTTTGCGCCTGTTGCCTCCGAGCAGTTCAGATGCCACTCGCAGCACGTTCGGAGGGTCCAGCAGTTCATGGGTACCATGTAGAGCCCATTCCCGTGGCAGTTGAGGGAGTGGTGGGGTCTCCGGAGTTTTGGGGCGGAGATTCGGGCGCCGCCGAACATGTGGCTCCCTCAGGCCTTTGGTCCGGAACATGGTGGATCCCGTTTTCTGGGAACCTCTCAGCTGAGGCTTCTGCGCATTGCTCGCACGATGTTCGAAGGCGCGTTGTTGAAAGTAGGGAGCAATGAAGTTGTTGACCAAAGCTTGCTCGCCACGAGTTTGCTCTCATCCTGGTTGGAATTTGAAGGAACACCACGGAGTCTGAACTCCACCATCATGGATTTCAGTGGTTTTGGTGGTCTAGTTTGTGAAATCCACATGCCTTGGAACACCAAACCCATCAAAACAATGAGATCCTTGCGCATTGGGTACAGTAGGCTACCCAGGTGGTCCTTTTTTGCAGCAACCTGTGTGAAGAGTCCTCATGTGTTGGAATCATCATGAATCATGAATCATCACCGTGTTGCCGATTACCTGGTCCGTGCCAGATTCCGATCCTAATCTGGGATGGAAGACCTTTGCCTCAACCTCAGCAATGCTTCAGCTGGCAGCTCCCCGGAAGGATATGATGAATTTCTCTTGGTGGATCTTCCTTAGGATGAATGCATGTTACCATGATATTCTCATACATGTCGCTCTCCGATGGTCTCCTTCTTTCATATACTGTACATATATATATATATATACATATATATATACTGTGTATATATATACACATACAGTTGCAGTTGTACATACACTGACTTATAGTTATGTACACATTGTAACACCCATATGCATCTCATATCAGATGGCCTGGCCCACAGAATCACTCAACCTCGATCCACCCAGGTGGAGCTGGCGGGCTCCACCCAGGCGGAGCAGGTGCGTTGCGCTGGGGCCAGGGCTGGGATTTCGCTGCAACGAAGAGGTAGATATAATCATGTAATGTTTTATACATAACAAGATGGTTTGCAGATATATTATTTCATATACACATATGATGTGTTAAAAAACAAAAACACAGACAAATACGATCAATGTTTTTTTGAGGCCCCAAAGACTTACCAGCCGCAAGGACGGCAGAAAGAAAGAAACATCTGGAAAAGATGCGATGTGATGCTGAGGAGGTTTGTGTTCTATCTCAACCATTTGGGAGTCTCCTTTCGACCAAACTGATCACTATCCCTATGGATCCACATACCCTCGTGATTGGAGACACATTTTTGATGTGGAATTGGAGGGTCCAAGTACCTGTTGAGAAGATACGTGGAACCCTAGGGTATTATTAGTTTACTCTCTAGCCACTTCAATGGATTTCCATGTCTTGCCTTCTCAATCGTCGAAGGCCTTGCCAGAGTTGAGGGTACTAGCTGAGCAACAGGCACGGCATCTATCCGCATGCCAGCGAATCTTCAGTCAAAAGACACGCATGCAGTCATATACCGTCATCACAGCGTAAAGAACCCTGAGATTTATATCTGAGAATTGACATCCGAGACATCTGACAGTTGCTAATTACGTCAGACTGCCATTGCAGAAATGAGCTGTTCTTCAACGTAATACATGTTCATTCATGTTCGTTCCATGATCGCCTCCTTCCAGGCCGACCGCGTGGTCGCCAGCAATGCGGTCACGGTGCTCGCGGAGCTGGGCCCTTGTGCGCCGAGCTCAATGTGTTGGAAGCATTTGCAGAGGTGGAGCATAACTATGATAAAATCAGATAACCCTCAAAGTGAACCCAACCTTTAAAGGCATTTATCATTTAACATGTATTGGGATGACGTTGTATCTACTTCTTTGGGGACATCGCAAGAGGTTCGATCGATTTTTAGGTCGCAATCAGAGTATATCAGTTCTCGGTTCGTTTGTGTCTTTGGTGATCAATAGGTCCAGACCATGCCATGGGATTCTAACCATTCACTATAGATACATTCACCCTCCAATGACCCATGTACTGGACGGTCGAACGGATATGAACGGATGATAAAGCATCTCCAGGCGCTCACCTCAACGTTGGTGCCACGCGTGCTGGAGCTCTTTGAGGAGTCACCCGGGCCGTCACCGGTGGCAGGGAGGTGGAGGCCTCATTGGCGTCTTCCTCCACTGGCATCCAGAATGAGATGTCTCCGCAGAAGCTCCGAGTAAGCCCCCGCATAGCTCGGTCTCACGCAGAAGCTTCCTTTGCAACACCTGTGTGGCCCTGGAACCGCCTCCTACAAAGCCTTTCCTGGAACCCGCAAAGCGAACAGTAGCGTCAGATCGGAAAATCTGCAGCGTGGATTTGCTGTTTGTTTCAACGCGCCTTGTTGCCCTTGGTTTCACCGGTTCCGCAGCACCTGAAAATGGAAGAACATCACAGCACCAACGAAACAGGAGTATCCATCCCAGCAAGTGATGACCCCCACACACCCTTCAATCCACCAACCCCAAACACCCACGAATCATGCACCTCACAAAACAAAACCACTCCTTTTCAGAAGCTCCGGCCCCACTCCCTCTCCCCTCCGTGGCCCATTTGGTGTGGAACCACTCCGGAACCATTTGGACGTGACCACCACCCGATAGAAGTCCAGTTTGACGACACTTTGCCCCACCTAAGTAAAGGATGTTCCTGGACTCCACTCACTTTAAAGACCAATTATGTGTTTAAAACATGGTCAACTGGACTCCAAGAAGACCTCGTCTTTGCCTTTGCCAGTGATTTGGGGGTCCTAGTTTCACGGCTTGTTATGTGTCCTCTTACATAGCTTAATTTAAGTTAAACAGTTAGTTAAACATCACCTTTTTGTAGAACTTTCAATTAACGGAAGTATAAGGATCGCCTGTCTCACCAATGGTGCGCGACTGAACAGATGACCTGGGAGGTCCACCTACCAGGGTCAACCAGGCGGGTTTGGATCGCCCTTTGAGGAGACGCCCGATCGGGCGAGTGACCTCTCCGAGGCGCGGCGAGGGGGCGGGAGGCAGCCACGACCGTTGGGGAAAGGGTGAGGAAGAGTACAGGTTTGAGTTTAGATGATTTTCATTGGTTTTATGTTCAGAGATGATGATTCAGCCATGATTTTCTGGGTTAATGGGTGTTCTGTTTTGGTTTGTCATATATAAATCATATATAGGTGTGCCGGGTCTAAAGACCTTGGTTGCGGTTGTGGATGGTCATCCAGTGACAGTGCTCGTGCCAAGGCCGCCCATGGCGCCATCCCCATGGCACCTTGGGACCCGTCGCTGAACAGAATTCAACTAATAACTCTTGAGGACCATAACCCCCCCGTAATGAAGAGGATGTTCAATTCAAACGGGGTGGTGTAGTTATGGTCCTCAATTAATCAAGAGTCTACCATTCATCTACCTGACGAGTTACCAACATGTCTCCGAAAGGTGGCTTTTGGAGACTAGGGTTCATGGCAGGTGGTGACCTGGCTGTGAGGGTACCTGACGAATGACCTGGAATGACCACCCACCTACTATGACTGCAGAACGTTTGGTATTGACCCACGAACACTAGTTCTGGCTCCTTTGCGGTGTTTCCTTTTGGGTGCAGTGTAGAGTGCAATGGCACTGTACGCAGTGTAAGCATTTTGTTGAAGACTTGGAGACTTGTTAACTTGGAGACTACCCCAAGGGACCCAGTGTCCTTTATTTGAGCCACCGCAGCGGGACATTAGAGAAAATCTGGAACCTCAGGATGGAGGACCATGAAGGTGCTCAAGCCTGACCACCAGTAGTAGGTCAATCTTCAGAAGGCCATTGCCTTCGACTGCTGAGCCATCCTTGGACGGCAAGTTAGTTCAATTGGGTCCGAGTCACTCGTAGTCGGGCCTTCACCTGGAGGCCTCCTACTCACGTTCCATGGAAGTGGACCAACGCCCTTGGATAAAGACGATTTTCCTCGACCTTGGGGAGGTTTCCACTTCCGTGTTAGTGCCTCGGAGTGTGACAATTGAATATTTATTCCTTGTGGATCCACATACCCTCTGACAGGGTGAACTTCGTTCTGCTTGAAATCCGCGGGACGACGTCCGTCCTCCTTCTGAGCCGGTCTGTGGATCCCTAGGGCAGGTGCTTTTCCCTCCAGCTCATTTGGACCTTCACCTCATCCCAAGGGAGGGTGCCTTCCCTCCGCCACACCGGAACCACAGGTGGTGCTTCGAGTCGGGGTCTCGGGAATGGACTTTTGGATCTTTTTTGGATCTACATTGACAAGGGTACTAAGTACCCATGTCTACTGTGAACTGCATCACTATGGACTTAAGCTGATGTCTTTGGCAGATCAATAGGACGGTCAAAAGAGACATTTGACATTTCAGATTATTTCAGGATTGGTCGTGAAAATGGAGGCCAATATTCTACACTGAGTGATTCGAGGACAAATCTTCTGCTGGATGGGGGAGCTTTGGAATGTCCTCTACCAGCAAGGTGCATGCCTGGGGTGGAGAATGCAGAGAACAGCTTTGCAATGCAATTGCCATAAGCTCAGTGTCGGCCAGGAATCTGCAGATGTCTCTACAGAAGCCTAACTCAGTGATTTGCACTGAGTTTGCTGACTTGAGACTCTGGTTTTGTGAGGGAAGTCCTTTTCGAAGTGCCCCCTGGCCCTTTGCATTCTGTAGTGTCCTCTCATAGATCCTGGTACTACTAGACCTTTGGATGCCGTTTGGGTATATTGAAAATGGGGGACGTGAGTAGGGGAGTTTCACCGTGAGCATTTAAGTGCAACCATTTTGAATGTAGCCTTGTTCACTCACTCCCATCGATGGCCTTGACTCGACCATGCAGACCACCCACGATCTGGCTGACTCAGCGAGACATCGCCATGCAGCCCGTGTTGCAAGGTTGGAGTGAATCACAATGGCGGCCACCTTCTAGTGGAGGCAGCCATCGGGAGGGTCGCGGCGGTGAAACCACACGGTTCTCCCGGATATATACATGCACATGTACACTGTATGGATCGGTAGGGTCCATAAGGTAGTTTAACTCATGTATCTTTTATGATATCTTATGATGGGTGATGGGTAAATATCAAAGTGTGGCATTCGATTGACATCTAAGCGGCTGTTCACACTGCAAATTGCAACAACATACTGCAGGAGTTTTTCGGCAACCAGCCACCTGCTTTTGGCTGTTGGACGTAATCATGACGAGGTTCAGAGCCTCCCCCCAAAACCCAAAGGAAATCAGACACCAGGTGTGTTTTTGTTGTTCGTGTTTGGCATGCATATCATCTTGTGTTCTTCCAACTGCAACACCGGTTTCGCCTTTTCCGCCGTTTCGCCTTGATTTTGAGGGGCGAGCGCTTCCATTCGCACCTCAGGTGCTGTTGCAGATGATCAACCGATGTGATTTCAAACGGCAGCAGCGAGCTGCTAAGGCGAGCGCTTCTTCTTGTCACCGCTGTCACGTCGCAGAGTCGGTGGTGTGTCGAGGAGTCGGCTGAAGATTCACGCGGAGTCGGGGGGATCGTAAGGTCCATCTTGAGAAGCTGGGTGTTTCAGGGGTGATGAGATTCCTTTCATGACCGCGGTTTTTTTAGAGCAGATGGCAAAAAGCCCTACATTGTACTTTGGGATGGGAATCTGTATGAACCTTCCTTTGGGAGATCGTGCTGTTTGCTCTCCATCCTACAGGTTATTAGTAATAATTGTTATGAAATGTTATGTAATGGTATGTCGGATGTTCCAGCATACTGAACCCTCTTGCTTCGACTGAGCCTGGACTCGTGAGAGGTTCTCCTACACTGAGGTTCTCACTGGCTGCTTCGGCCTAGCGGAAGCGAAAGAGTGGATGTACACCAACGATTCCTGTGTTTTGGCCACTTGGCCTTCAATGCGCTTCGCTATGCCACACGACAGAGGCCCTCTGCATGATGCGGAATGGACCGGGATAGAATGGGATGAAGCAAGAGAGAGGCGGTTGTGGGAACAAGGAACTTGTTTCTCCTAATGGCCTCTCCTGCCGTGGGTGAGGGACCTCTAACAGCTTGGGTTGCCCAAGAAATCGGAACTCTACCCACATCTAGACGGACTTGATAACAGTACAAAGATCACTCTGTGAGATCTGTGTTCAGTTTCTTCCTTGGAGTAATCCGTGACCACATCCGTGACCATGAAACACGTTGTTCTAGCTGGCAAGTTCGCTGAGGTGGAGCTCCTCCTTCGTGAGATCCCGGCAAAAGCGGAAGATCCCAAAGCTTTTCATTGCTTCAGCAACTGCGTGAAGGCATGGAAGTAGCAAGCTGAGCTTGCCTGAGCGTCATGTGGAACGGAGAAACGGATGTTGCTTGTGGTGACTTCGGATCGACAATTTGTTGACGTTCTAAGGCTGCCTAGATCGCATGCCCCAAGTCGTCCATCCCCCAAAACTGTTGCAGCTTTTCTCAAGGGCCTTCACAGTTGCGATTTTCTTTGCATAACATCTTCCAGTTCGACCCCCTTCGAAGAAGAAAAATAGACCCGCAGCGTTTGTGGACTTAAGAGTGATGAATTGTTGTTGTATTGTATTTTTTTTGTTTTTCTTTTGTGTGTGTGTTGTTGCTCATACCTTACCTTTTGTGGTCGGAAACCAAAAAGTCAGAAGGTCTGTTTTGCTTGCTCAACGGTGGTCTTTGCCGTTTGTATGTCGCATTCACACTCATGTCTCGGTGTAGCTGGATGCAACAGGTCCGGTTTGGTGATCCCGGCGGAGGTTGCCACACTGTTCAGTTGCAGGCCCCTCGTTTTTGTGGGTGTTTCCTGCAAGGCGCTCTTACTTTGCAGCCAAGCAGCTGCCACTCACCGGCGCAGTGAACTCTGGCAGGCGCTCGCGTATGTGGCGAGGGTTTGCTTGAACAGATTTTTGTTGGGGGGTTAAGTTCCGCCACATCAGCTGACAATAGATTATACATTTAGTTTTGAGATATTTTGTGTGGATTCCTTTTCTTTTTGCAAAGGGTATGACAATACTGATAAACACTTGTCCAACCAGCATGTGTTGAGTTCGCTGAGATATCTGCTGATCATTCGAGGGGTTGTTTGGCCTTCATGTAGAGAGACACTTGTAATTATATTCATATGTGTTTAATAGTTCCTTTCTTGCGGGGGTATTTGATGCATGTCGTCTCAACAGATGTGTCATGATAACTGCGTACCAGGGTCTAGGGTCTAGGGTTGAGAGGATGAGCAGGGGATACCCACGAAATCTTTGCATGCTTTCATGGGAAGATGGACAAAGGTTCGAAGTCATAATGGTTGGAGTTAGAATCCCATGTAGCTAGGAGGTATCATGTTTGGTTGTCAAGAATAGTAAGAGAGTCCCAGAGACTCCAGCAGTGGCACTAGCACGCGGAAGAGTGGCGCTGGCAGAAGATGTCTAGACGTGATGTCTCAGGGAGAAGGATCTTCTTCAGCTCATACTTGTGACTAATCTGACCCTTTCTTGATTCAGCTATTTAGAAGTCTCCCAGGTTCTGTGGATGATGTGGGTTTCAGCAAGGGATGTACCTCTCTCAAGGACCAATCCTCAGTTACGGTATGCTTTGCTACTAGGACCATGGCAGATTGGTATGGCTTGGGAATCTCTTGGATTTATGGCATCTTGCTGGATACAGTCCATCCACAGCGGTCACAGCGACACCCATGTCACCTCTCGTGCACTCGTGCACCTCTTCTCACCTAAAACCTCTCACCTCAGACGACCGGGATGACCAGCTCCAGGTCATGGACGATCTACGCCAGGATGATCGTTTGGAACGCTCAGTACGGCAAGACTGCGTGGAGGCGGCGGGTCTTCGAGCCGGGCCGGTGCGGTGGCTCCTTTTTGGGGGGCAGAAGACGGACGGAGTGTGGCTGGTTGATGGAGGTTGATGGATGAACACATAGTGCTCCTTTGGTGAGCTTTCTGGTTTGGTGGGTGTATTTGGAAGAAACAGCAATATCGAGGATGAGGGAACATCCAGGAACTTCCGCAGTTTCATCCAGTCCCTGCTGGTTGAAGACCTAATTTTAGACCAAGGTAAAACACCTTGTGGGTTCGCTTCCTGGATCCTCGTAGAATGTCTGGCATCATCAAAACTCCTTACACCTCAGTTGGCTCTGAGTCCAAATTCCTCACCCTATAGCAAATATGCAATCCAAGCATGATGAACCATGGCCCAAACACTCCATGTGTGGCATATTTACAATGTTTTACAATTTATTTACATACATTGACCCCTAAAACCACTCCAATGTAGGTGTATATATGGAGTGTTCGGGTGGTAGTGAAGCACATCCCTTACGTCATTTATGTGACCCGGAGTCCAGCAAGGTGCCCAGGCTTGGACCTATACTATGAAAGAATCCATGGGTTACATGGAGTGAAAGCCACCGGTTTGGTATTCAGATTCACGGTGAGATTGACGGTGATCCGTATCATGGCCCATGTGTTTCTTCCACGATCATCCACGTGCCACGTAATATCAACGTAACCAGGATATATCGATGATATTTTATATGTTATGGATATATCGATGATATATATCAATATAACTGGATATAATATGTTTGATTTCAGGGAGTGCTCGGACCAGTTCTCGTCTTGCGCTCCTGGAGGTGCTTGAGGTGATGCAAGCGACCGATCCCGCCATGAAGGCCTGATACCTCTGACGATGGTTTGGCCTGGTCTGTGGCGACCTGAGGCCGTTACGGTCTCCTTTTGGATTGCCGTTGAAGAGCAGAGGATAAGACATCCTCGCAAGAAAGAGCTTTGAGTGTGAAAGTAAAGAAGAGAGGTATTCATGGAATTTCAAGATGCTACAAAGTCGGTCGAAAACACGTTGATCAAACTAGCATTTTCGTTTTTGTTCTTTGACGCAGCACCATGATGTGTTTGACCAGTCATTTGAATTCTAGGTGGTTGAATTTGTGAATTCATCATCATGTGGCGGCATGGGTTGTTGCCACGACCCAGTTGGGTCCACACTTGGTGGCGCCTATCTTTAACTGCCTTGAGAGGGCTCCCTTGTACAAATGGCTTTCAAGCAGCAGGATGAGCACAGATTTCATATCAGAGTCATTGTCTCATGTTGTTTCCCCTAGGCAAGGCATGTTTGAAGATATTCTATGAACATGTAACATATTATAAATCATTATATAACCATTCATGAATTGTGTTTGACCATTCATTCATTTAATTTTGTGGGAACCGCTTTAGCTTGCGCCTTCAACGCTCAGAATCTGCTGGATTCGCCTCCTGGGGCTCGGGCCCGCTCGGGCCACGCGGCGCGAATCTGCTGGAGAAGGCAGATGGCGCGACACAAAAAGGAGAGTGTTCTATGGCAGCTTCATCATTTCGATTTGTCATCCTGGAGTAGATAGGTATATGAAACCATCCAACAACATGACCAGTGTCCCATGTTTTCTTTCTCCCATTTGCACGCCAAGCACATTTTGGGTCGAAGAAAGTCCGAGTGTACAGATCTTTTGTGTCCCCCGCACGCTCCAAAACTGAAGCGATGCGATCGACGCGATCTTTCTTCGTTTTCAACAGCCTCCTGGCACTGGCGGGTGCCTGCTCTCGAGCGTTCTATGAGAGTGGAACCGGGGATTGCTACACTGGTCGCAGCATGGATCCTCGGCCCAGCGAAGAGTGCAGGGACGCACGCGAGTCAGCGAACTACCGCACCAAGCTGGAGAAGCTAATTAAGGACTAGTACCCCAGGACCAGGTTCTTTTTCGTTTCAGCTTGGATCGGTGGTTCCGTCATCTCCCACGGCCATGGTCTCCTGCTCCCGGTGGAGAATCGCCGTGGTCGGTGGTTTACCGGGAGAATCGCCGTGGTCGATGGAGATGTTCAGAAGGAAGAGACATCAAACCCCCCCGTCCCGCCAAAGCCAGCCACTACAGTTTGAGGAGCCATACCAACTCTGATCCCTTCTTAGGAGCTTGAGTTTGAGGGTGTTTCATGGTGTTTTCATCATACAATCATTGGTGGTGAAGAGCAGTCAGATCAGGACCCCAACGCCAACACACCAAAAAAGAGGCATGACACCAAACACTTGCCAAAGAAAACACCACCTGATGCTACCTGACTCCCTGCCCCGCCACCCTACAAACCCCACACTCCTGCCCCGGCCCCATACTCCTCGCCGCGGCCCCCAGGATTGGTTTGAATCGATGAAGACCAAGTTGTGGATCTTCCCCCGGGGCATGGCCCGCGACGGCGGTGTGGGCGAGGCAAGCCTTTTTCCCCTCCCTCATGGTGGAGACGGAAGGGGTGGGAAGGGAGGCTTGGAAACGAAATACACGGCACTGGCAGGCAAGACGGTGTAGTTAGTAAGAATGATCCCAAAATCAAGGCCAAGGTTTGTTGAAGGGTGGAGAGGCGGAGAGTGATCTGGAGACTTCTAAAACAGAGGTTTGTCAACAAGAGCTAGACATATATATATATATACAGGTTGAGTGGTTGGCTTGACAAGACTTGTTTCGCAAACAAAGAATTTGGCTACTCCGAATCAGAATCCTGCCTTGAAGATTCCAGATGTTCAGAAGTAGGTCATCCTCCCCCACTAATGGGACTCCATAAGGGCTGATTCCATAGTTTGTTGTTGTTGTTGTTGTTGTTGTTGTTGTTGTTGTTGTTGTTTTTTAATGTCCAATCCTTGTCAACTATTGATAGTTGGCTACACTGACCATCCATTTGCAGGACACAAATCATGAAGCTTCAGTGGACCATCCATAGGAAGAAGAAACGGGTTGGCAGGTTATTTTTTCTGCGCTAATATTTTCCAGGAAGCATGATGTAGACCATTAATCCATCAAATCCCCTACTTGTACCAGAATGGTTTTACATCTCCATGTGTGGGGGGTTGTTCAGGTTCCCAACCATTTTTTCGTTAAAAGGATTTCCAACTGAAGAAAGCCTCATTTGGGGAACCCCTTCAAGCTTCTGGCTGACACACCTCCCCTAAGCTGATACTGCAGGGCTCTCTGCAGTGGACCTCCAAGTACGGATCGGTGGTGGCCTCCAGCTACGACATTGCCACCACCGATGGCATCAACGAAGCTGGCTTAGTGGGGAATGTGCTCTATCTCGCTGAGGCACAGTACGGTCCCTTAGACTGGAACGCGGGTCGTGCCCCGGAGTGGAGTCGACTCCACCCCCCCAAAGCGCCTTTTGGAAGTGTAGGGTCCTCGTAAGCCACCCTGAAGTCGGGTGGATCCGAGGATCTCTCTTTCCACCTGTATGTGGTTGGTATGTGCTTGTTTTCGGAAGATGAGAGCTTCTTCTCCTCCTTCATGAGAGGTCTTGTAATGAGATTCGTGTCGGTGTAGCGAGCTCGCTCGCTGAATCGCTGACAGAGGAGCCTGTGGGAACCGGGGAGCCGCCTGTGCGGCTCGTGTCGTGTCGGGAAGGAACTCATACAGGTGGGAGAGGTTCTTTGCTGGACCGGTGACCAAGAAGCTGATCTAAGCGCTTTTTTGGCATCCATGTGAGTTCGTAAAAGGTGAAGATCACTGTCTAGACGGTTGGACATGTTCGATAGATCATTGATCTGTGAATTGGGCTTGAGCGGCTCAGGGATGTTCAGGGTGGAATGTTGGATTATGGTAGATTGAACAGCTTTTTGCTGAGCAAGAGAGGAGTTTGGCATTTTCCCGGCCGCAACCTCCCTCGTTTCTTTTTGCCATGTCTACGGCGAGTACTGCTCCACCTTTAGGGGTTCGGCCCGGATGCCCAGCCATCTCTTCTCACCTTGAGGAACTGCAAAACGGCAAGGGCAGAAGAAGATCTCCATGGGTGCCATGCTGCAACACATCCTGGACAACTTCGGAACGGTCCGAGAGGCTGTGGACTTCAACCGAGGTGATACTTGGTGCGAACGGAAACATGGAGTGGTGTGAGACAAGGAGACCCCTTGTGGGACCCGGAATCCCCCGCAAAATGAATACAAGATGGTACAAGTAGCTGTTGTGGTCGACGTCACGTTCCATGGATTCTACGGTACCAATACAACATCGGATCCGGCGATCTCCTTGGTGCCTGGGTTGACATTGACACGTCCGGGCTTCGGAATATCGGGAATATGAGAAAAAAACAGACAGATCCTGCGTCTCAGTGAAACCGGATCCTGCGTCTCAGGTGATTTGAATGTAACAAAATCCGTTCACTGGAACCATCTGGAACCCCTATATGATCGATCATATGAATCATATATTAACCTTAATCATTCACCAGCATGAAAAGAAATATAGAATGATACAGCATCGTCCGCAACAAATGATTTCGGCAGGTGCTTCGGTCGCACGAGATCCGCTTGGAGCCATCAAAAGAAAGAAACAAGTACACGATCGACGCTTGCGAATGCCTCTTGTTCAGGATAATCTTTGTGTGATAGCTCCTGATTTGCCGAATGGTGAGAAGACCACTGTCCATGTTTCCATCAGTGACGCAAAGAACGACTCGGCTGTCTTCGAGTACATCGACGGACAACTGCGGATTCATCACGGCTCAGAGTATCGAGTGACCGACGCTGCATCGAGTGGAAAACCATGGGTTCCAACATATGTTCTAAGATGACAGGACAGTTTAAGTGCCATATTCTACCGTATTCCAAGCATGTGGCATGACATAGTTTGCATTCCATTTGGGTGGGGTGCAGAGGGTTTTGGAGGCTCTTGGGGTCACCGCACCCATGGTATCACACCGAGAGAGCAGCATCAAGAACGCAAATACAATAAACCGTTGACATCCATTGACAGAGGCATTCACCAGAACTGGCAGCCAGAAAAAACACCCAAAGCAACTGCAGCTTGTTGTTGGGGGATATGATTGGCGGATATTGGCGGGTATTTGGTCAATTGCTGGTTGTTTCATGTCGTTTCTGTTTCAGGCCTCTTTTCGTTCTCTCCATCCCTGGCACATCTCCCCTCCCAGGTGATGACCAACTCCCCTCCCTACGACCGACAGGCGGGCACCAACGGGATCCTCTGTAAGCCCAGCCGCTTTTCGACGGCCAAAAATGGGGTGACAACGGACCACAACTGTCGCGGTGAGGTGGTGCAAATCTCTCAAGTCGTCATGGTGGGATGGGAGGTGGTGATTGTGCATGATTGTGCTGTTTCTATACGCATGGTGTGAACGTGTTGCATTTGCTAATCGGATTTTGCAAAGCGAGTGTCCATGGTTTGCTGATTCAAGACACATTCTCAACACACAATGTCACAACTTTGGTACACACATGCCTGGAATTTACACCTTGACACCAGAAGAGCTTTTTCGCGGATTCCATTCGCAGCCAATTCACCTCGCCATTCACCCTTCGCACCGTGCCAAACTAAGGGCCTTCGTCCCGTCCAAAAACACGTCGCAGGTGGCCTTGGCCAATTATTGGACCGAGATCGGTGGCTACACCTTCTTGCCGGGCACCCACCGGGCAGCCGACCGCTTCGCACGGCTGAGCTACAATTTGCACGCGGTGCCCAAGGTGAACCAGTCGCGGCAGGCAGGGTGTTGGATGTGGGCGGAGCGGGTGTTGGAGTCATGTGCAGATGGCTCCTGGCGCTTTTTGCATTAAGGTGGAGGATTGATGGAAGTGCATAAAAAAACAGGCAATAGATGGCAATAGGATCAATAAAATAGGCATGGAAGAGGTGTTTCTTGTCAGCGAAATAAGCAGAATCAACCACAATCTCAGAATCCAACTTGAATTTGCACTGACCCCCTTTGTCTCTCAAACGTTCAAAAACCCAACCAACACGCACCGCTCGAAACGCCAGAAACGAGTCTCTCCGCTTGGCTGACTGCCTGTGATGATTATCTTACCAGCTACTAGAACTGATTCGACCAATGAAGAGCTGCCGATATCCACCCTCCTTGCTCAGTTGTGTTGCTTGTGAAGGCTACGCGCGGTCAATGATGAGAATCCATCAATCATCTTTCGGGGCTGACTGCCTG